AAACCCCGAAACCCTGAAGCCACAACCCCCTGATGCTCATTATGCTCGTTTCTCAAGAGCTTAGGGCCATAGCTTACGGTGCAAGGTTCAGGGGAGTGGCACATGAGGACGTGGGTCTGGTGAGGAACTTTAGGGGTTCTAAGGAGTTCAAACTGAAAGCCCTGGGCCCTGAAAGTACACACGTAAACCAAGACACCCACAAAAGTCGACTCCGAATTCAGTGTTTGAGGTGTAAGCTTTTAGGGGTTAGGGCGTAGCCCTTACTAAGATGATGTTGGAATAGGGGTTCAGGGTTTACGGGTTTAGGGGTTTGTCGCTTCTGTGGGCATCACATGAGGGATCCAAAGCCCACTTTTCCGCGGCTGCTGCAGACTTCAGGCTTAGGGCTTATAAATGAGGGCCTAGGGCCTTAGTAGAGTTTCTAGAGCTATTGCCTCTTCAGGGCTCCGGGCTCACGTACTTCCCATTGAGCTTGGTAGCCGATTGTGCAACGACCATGTATCCGAATGCTATAAAACCTGGCTGTTCAGGCTTCCTTGTCACATGAGCCCGTAAACAGGTAGGTTCTTAGCGCTTAAGAATGCAGGAAAAGCTACTTGTGCTGCTTGCAGCTTGGCCGGTTGGCCGGTCATATCATACCACATCCCAGACACATATATACACATCGTCACAATGACCATCATCGTCATTATCGCCATAATCATGCTTCTCATACTGTCGCTTGCGAACCTGCCACTGCTAAGCCGTCTAGGGTCTGGGGTTTAAGGAGGGCTTTAGGGGGTTGGGTTTAAACTGTCATGAAGCTCCTGCAGCCCGGCAGGCAGAGCAAGCAACATGCTTCATCTTGGCGAGGAAGCGTGTGGGTGTGCAGCACTGAGAATTATACACCAACTGTATCGCGTTTTCGTGATTATTCAGGCACCCTGTCCTGCACAAACCTGGGCTGTGGCATCTTTAACAGAAGTGAAGGGTATGAGTCGAGCATTCACCAGTTTGTGAACATCGTTGCTTTGGTTTCACGAACCCATGTAATTATGAGTGAACCCATTTAACCCGGGGCCGGGAACCCGACACCGGGCACCCGGCATGTGGTACTGAAACAAACGCACACAGACATACATGTACAAACTAACATGGAACTCTTCTCTTTCCATGAAGAATCATATCATGTATGTATGTATATAATGTGTATCTATGTATACTTGAAACATAATATGTGTATGTTTCATGTTACAAACAGTTTACTGGAATCAATATATTATGAAGCATAGTACACCACATTATATTTTGCTTACATACATATAACGGCCAGTATTTGCTTACCTGTGCGTGTGTGTGTGTGTCTATGAAGTAGATGCCGGGTTCCCGGCTTTTGCTCTTCTTCGCCGGGATTCCAAAGCCAGGAAACCGGTGCCGGGTTTCCGGCGCCCCAAAACCATCAAATTGTACCTAGGGCTTGCTTTTGGCAACCCGGTTCCGCGCAGTGCATTTAACAAACATTCAAGATATAGATAGATAATGCAATATATATATATATAATGAAACAATATAAAGCACTAATCTAACGACGCCGGGAACCAAGCATCGGGTAGTGGCTGCAATTTGACAACGTCGATTAAATCCGTAAATCAAAGAAAATCTAAACCACTTTATTATTACACAAACATATACAGTAATAATAAGAAAATCGAAAATGAATCGTATTACTACATTTAATAATAGTATGTTGTACCAATATAGAAAAAGTTGGAATGATCATTATGGCGCCGGGTTCCCGGCATGGGCGGGGCATGCAAAGCAAACGAGAACTGATTCACATTATTGAGACACAGTATATATATATATATATATATGGATTTGTATGTGTATGTATGGTGTGTGTGTGTGTGTGTGTTTTGCCAAGTAGCAGATGTTGGTGGGTTCCCGGCGTGGGTTTCCCGGGGGATCGGTGGTGCCGGGTTCCCGGCGTTAGGGTTTCAGGTTTAAAATTCCGGAATACAGCTTATGTGTATGTATGGTGTGTATAGTTTGCCAAATAGCAGATTCTGGGTTCCCAGCGTAGGCTTCCCGGGGAAGGGGTGCCGGGTTCCCGGCGTTAGGGTTTAAGGTTTAGATTTCCAGAATACACCTCCTGGCTTTTTGTGTGTGTATGTAAACAAAACCAAAAAAAGTAGAAACATGAAAACATATTTTTCTAGTTTAATTTTCTAGAAGTATAAATATAAATATAAACATTTTTAATATATACTTATAGAAATGCAATATATGTGTATATAGCGAAAACCGATGCCGGGAACCCGGCATCGGCTAGTGGCTGCATGCAAATCAGAACTACGTTTGGTCAAGTGATAATAGTTTGTTTCACTAATATGAAAATGGTAGAATGGATCATTACGGCGCCGGGTTCCCGGCACCGGCAGGGCATGTAAAGCACTCGAATAAATGGATTCCATCAACATAATTATTGAAACACAGGATAAAACTTTTTTCCTGTCTTTCAATAAAGTAATCTTCCATAGTTATACAAATATATATATATATATATATATATATATATATTATTTGTAGGTGTATGTATGGTGTGTGTGTGTGTGTGTTTTGCCAAGTAGCAGATGCTGGTGGGTTACCGGCGTGGGTTTCCCGGGGGATCGGTGGTGCCGGGTTCCCGGCGTTAGGGTTTCAGGTTTAAAATTCCGGAATACAGCTTATGTGTATGTATGGTATGTGTGTGTGTGTGTGTGTGTGTTTTGCCAAGTAGCAGATGCTGCTGGGTTCCCGGCGTGGGCTTCCCGGGGAAGCGGTGGTGCCGGGTTCCCGGCGTTAGGGTTTAAGGTTGATATTTCCTTCTGTGTGTGTGTGTGTGTGTAATTGTGAATCCTAGGAATACAATAGTCTTGGGATTATGAATACTTCATTCTCTCTTGTAAAATTCGTATATGTGTACATAGACACCTACATTGCATTTAAAATAGGCCGTGTTGCTGTATGCATAAGATACGTTCATATTAGAAGACTTTTGTTTAGTTTAAGTTGCCAAGCTGCTTCTCTCAAAAGTATATCAGCAGAGGTGAAACGTGCAGGACAGGGCACCCACATAATCAACAGCCGGCACTGCATTCGGGTGGAATCCAGTGCTATGTGTTTATTATGCTTGTTTGGTGTGCGCTGCTCCCCACGCCGTGGTTCTTTGGTTTCACGCAGTTGCTTACTGCTTTCCAGTGGATGCTTTTACGTGAGCATTACTTTGCGGGATTCTACAGTTTTGCCACACCAGGTGCTGGCTGCCGACTGCAGCCGCTCTGCGCAGGTCCCAGTCTTGACTCATTTTCCGTTCTCACCGTCAGAAGATTGATGCTTGCGTTGCAACATTGTGTGCGGCCATCAGATTGACTGCTCGAGCGGAGGCCTGGGCTTCCCTCATTTGTGTTTTTGCCCCGATCGACTCGCTCTTTCTGTCTTAGCCTCTCTGAACATGGAGCGCTTTGCAGCTACGGCGTCGTGGTCGCTTGAGAAGCCCTTGCGCAAGCTCGTGTTCTACGGCAGTGAGTTGCAAGCAGTAATGGTTCCTTGCTTCCAATTAACGCACGTCAACGTGTTGTGATAGTACTGTGAACGAGCAATTTTCCAGTGCATTGCATCTGTTTGTGCAGGAGCTGGTGCACAGCGAGGCCCGGAAGTTGGGGTACAGTCCATCCAATGAAACCCCAAGGCCCGGCGTCGACAAGCTGGGACGTATGTTGCTCCTGAAGCAAAACAACCACATTTTGCGGGTGACCTTCAGTGCGGCGTCGCAAGAGGACTTTGCTAACGGGACATTGTCCTTTACTCCCGATGGCGGCTTGTCGCTCAACAAGCCGCTCGACTTCTCCGTCGGAGTCGAGAACATCAGCATGTTCTCATCTGTCAAGCATGCGGAGGCCAAACTTCGCTGCGAGGTTCACTCGAAGAGCACGGTGGTCGACGAGAAAGCTGATGAGGCAACGGCGGCGTCGGCCTTCAAGATTTGCATCTTGTTGTCGGCGTCGGCGTCGACGGAAAAATTTCCAGAGGATGAGGTCGGCGTCGTCAACCTTCAGCACTATATGTCCAAGAACACCAAGGCGCATAGTCGTCCGACCTTGCCGTCGGAGTCGTGGTCCCTAGTCGTCTTCCCAAGCGAACTGGAAACGACAGCCGTACACCACTTCCTCACGCACGGCGTCGCTCCGTCGGCCGTCGTCCTGGACTTACAGGTCAAGCAGGAGGTGATGATGCCAGCGCCCGGCGTCGGCGTAGATGTTCGATGCATCCCTGAGAAGGCTTCTCTCGCAGGTCACTGGCTGTTCACGGGGTCGGATGCGAAAACAGTCCTGGGGCACATCCGCAAGTTCGTGATCAAAGCAGTGGTCGGGAAGTCGGATCTTGTGGCCGTGGACAGCCCCTACACCGATGTTCTTCAGAGCCTCAAGGATCGCGCCGACAAGAGGCAGGCCCTGTGTGGTGGTTGTTAGGTTAGCGGTTGTGCTGCTTTCAAGAGGAGACAAACTTGCCTGCCAGGAAGCGGCGTCGAATTGAAGAACTGAAACAACTGGTCCGGGAGATGGATGGCCCAGAGACTGAGGGCACTGAGGCTCCGTTGCCACCGGCTGACAGCCAGAGCGCATGAGCTCGGATTTTTGAGACATGCACAGGGCCGTCGATGATACCAGCTATTATCACTATATGATAGTTATTCAACGATGATGTCTTGGAAAATATGCTTGTGCATGGTCCTGTGCCGGTGTCGAACATACACGCTTGCATTGCCCGACACTGGGCTGCTCGCTGCAGAGTGCGAGAAAGATTGAAAACTTTGACTTGTGGGCAAACTTAGTTTTGCTGCGCTTGCTGATACCTCTGCCAGCTTGCACCAGGTCTTGCTAGCACAAAGACACAGGAGGTCCCACACGTCCTTGCTTTAGTCGAAGGCTCCAGAGGCTCAGCTTTAGAAGTAGAAGGGCCCAGTTCCACTGTGGACAGACATGACCCGATGCGTGCAGCTTTGTGCTCTCGACAAATCCGGCGTTTGGCGCGTGAAGTCGAAGCTGAGCCGGAAGCAGCCCAAGGTCGAGAGATCCGCGGCTGAGGCGGCGGCGTCGAAGGTGAAGAAGGAGAAGCAATCTGCGGCCGAGGCTAAGAAGGAGCGCAGAAGAGAGCTTCAACGGGGCTATGAGAAGACACGTCAAGAGAAGCTCAAGAAGTCGGGCGTCAAGATTTCCCGGCCCCGCGAGGGCCTCAATGGCTTCAATGTTTGAGCACTCTGACAGGTTTTGAAGGTTCAGTATTGCATCGCCAGGTGTGGAGCACAAGCTGGTGTCGATTCCGTCCGCCCACGGAGGACTCTGTATGTCTATGTTTGGCCTGCCCGCATGCCTTTCTGTAGTTTGCACAATTTGCCCGGCAGGACAGAGCCTGAAGGAGGAGCACAGGAAGCAGGTCGTGATCAAACAGGAACCGGAGGAGTCGACCGCCAACTTTTCCGGGGCTTTGCCACTCCAAATATGCATGAAGCTTATTCAGATCGGTTGCTTGTACCTGCTGGCGGGTTTTTACTTAGCTTCTCGGCCTCATCTCTGAGGTTGCGGAGTCGACCAGCAAGAGCTCGAGAATCTACGCAAAGACCACAAAGAGCTGGAGATTCTGCGCAGTGAGCTGCAAGAGGTCCGGGGAGAGCTTGAGATCATGCGGGGTCGATGTCAATGGTACGAAGACGTGAGGGATTGGGTGGCCAACTATACACGGTATGCTGTTGGGATCAACACAGAAGGGTTGCCAGACTGGCTGCGCATCGGCTCGAAGAGCCTCAGTTTGATCATGAAAGAGAAGAAGCAAAGAGCTTCTGGTTCTGACACTGACGAAACGTAAGCTGTCCGAACGGTAGTCGAACCAACGCAGCCCAGCATTCTCGACAGACAGCAACAGTCAGCAAAGTGTGCTAACAACTTCAGCTCGAGCATCTTCATCAAAGTCAACGGCCGTCGAGTCGTCAGTCCAAGTTTCACGGGGTTTCTTGGTAATCACAACGGAGTCGACGCGTGATTCTGTGATTGCTACGGGGAGCGGGCGCTTGGGGCACAATGGCCGCAGGTTTTGTTGCTTCTGCTAAAGGTGTCTAAATTATTATACTATTCGTGTGATTCCTGCTTCCATCAAGGCCTGAGTTGTGCCCGGAGCACACATTCTGATTGTTTCCCAGCGCCCATGCGGAGGCTTTCCTGCTCAGGACTCAGGAAAGTAGCGCAGACCTGCAGAAAGGACATGGCTCTCGCTTCGGGGTTTTAGCTTGGCTAGACCAATCTTTCAGGATGCTCCCAACAATCTCTCACGAGACGACACCCATCCTGTCAAGAGACATCAACCAGCAATCTTTCACGAGACACCCAGCAATCTCTCGCCAGAGACCACCAGCAACATTTCACCAGAGTAGTGATTTCCAAAGACTAGATTACCTCAGAATATCTTGAGATATTGCTGGATAATCTGCAGTTTGGGTCCCCTGACATTACATCAGTTGTTTTTGTGAGGTAATACAGAATATTCCTTGTACGAATTACCCAGCAATATCTCAAGATATCGTGGGGTAATTTGTTATGCTTACGCTCTTTGAATTACCTCTGGATCTCGCGAGAGATCGTGGGCTCTGTTGCTAGGTTGTGGATCGCAAGAGACGGGAGTCTCGTGCGAGACGGCAGTCTCGCACGAGACGCTGCGCGAGACAATCATGTCGTGACAGAGAGGGCGGCGCGCGGTCACGCAGCAGGATGTGAGAATGCTTTAAAACAGAGCGTTGCAGTGAGCCTTCACACCGAGCAACACAGCCGGTGATTTGAGCTGCTCTCAACTAGAGGCCATTCCAGCTCTTGCACGGCGTCGCCTGGCGCTTGAACAGCCACAGCTTTGCCGGTTGTTTGCTGGTTTACTTCTCTTGTCTCTGCAGGCTGCGTCTGGTTGCTGCAAGTTCGCGGGGTCACACAGCAGGATTTGAGAATGCTTTAGAACAGAGTGCTGCATTGAGCCTTCACACCGAGCAACACAGCCAGTGATTTGTGCTGCTGTCAGCCAGAGGCCATTCCAACTCTTGCACGGCGTCGTGATCCTGCCCGAACGCCCGGCGCTTGAACAGCCACAGTTTTGCCGGTTGTTTGCTGGTCAATACGCTGAGTCTGGTCGCTGCAAGTTCGTTGTGCATGCTCGTGTCGGAATAGATTTTTTTTCTCAAGCTGTCACCTTCCGCTGGGCCCCGTGCATTGTGGACTCAGCTCCCCCCTCCCCCGCGAGAAACCATGGGGGTACAAGAACGTCCGTGAGGCATCCTTCGAACAGCCGAGCTCCATGCTCGGGGAAAGTGGCTAAAGTGGCTGAAGGGCAAAGGCCTGAGTCCGAGAGGCGAGCTCTGTTGCAAAGGCAAGGGCCTTCCATGCGTCCCCGAGGAAGTTGTCGCAGAGCGACAGCTTTGCGACAGCTTCCTCGGTGACGCGTGGAAGGCCTTGGAAGATTGGCAACTTCAACGCGGATTTTCGGTGTCGACAAGAAGTTCTTGCGCGCGACTGTGCTGGCCTGGATGCCCCGGTTGTGGCAGCTGGTTTGGTCGGTGACGATTTCGCCAAGTTTTTGCGTCGGACATCAATCCGAGTGCCATGGAATGGCTACAGGCTCTGGGCTTTTGATCCTGCAGTCGCAGCTGCAGCGTAGTGCAGAGGGCGGCGAGCGGTCGCACAGCAGGATGTGAGAATGCTTTAAAACAGAGCGCTGCAGTGAGCCATCACACCGAGCAACACAGCCGGTGATTTGTGCTGCTCTCAACCCGAGGCCATTAAATTCCAGCTCTTGCACGGCGTCGCCTGGCGCTTGAACAGCCATAGTTTTGCCGGTTGTTTGCTGGTTTAATTCTCTCTCTGCAGGCTGAGTCTGGTTGCTGCAAGTTCGTGCGGTCACACAGCAGGATTTGAGAATGCTCTAGAACAGAGTGCTGCATTGAGCCTTCACACCGAGCAACACAGCCAGTGATTTGTGCTGCTGTCAACCAGAGGCCATTCCAACTCTTGCGCGGCGTCGTGATCCTGCCCGAACGCCCGGCGCTTGAGCAGCCACAGGTTTGCCGGTTGTTTGCTGGTTTAATTCTCTTGTCTCTGCAGGCTGAGTCCGGTCGCTGCAAGTTCGTTGCGCTGCTCTTGTCGGAATAAACTTTTTTTCTCAAGCTGTCAGCTTCCGCTGGGTCCCGTGCGTTGTGGACTCAGCTCCCCCGCGAGAAACCATGGGGATACAAGAACGTCGGTGCGGCCTCCTTCGAAAAGCCGTGCTCCATGCTCGGGGAAAGTGGCTGAAGGGCAAAGGCCTGAGCACGGATTTTCGGTGTCGACAACAAGTTCTTGCGTGCGACTGTGCTGGCCTGGATGCCCCGGTTGTAGCAGCTGGTTTGGTCGGTGTCGATTTTCGCCAAGTGTTTGCGTCGGACATCAATCCGAGTGCCATGGAATGGCTACAGGCTCTGGGCCACGCCGAACGCCTTCACGGAGACATTCTGGAAAGGCCTGTCTCGATGCTGCCAGACGGTGTCGATGGTTATATTGCGGGCTTCCCTTGCCAACCGTTCTCCCGGCAGAATTGCCGCGCAGCAGGATTCAAGGATTCTCGGACAAGGGTTCTCAATTGCTGCTTGCAGACGGCTCAGACCATGAGGCCGCGGTTCATCATTTATGAGAACGTGCTTGGTCTTCGCCCATATTTGGGACGCTTCCTGCAACTTGCTCGGAAGTATGGCCTCTTGTCATCCTACCAGATGATCATGGTTCCGCTGTGTCCGCGCAAGTCCCTGAATGAGCCTACTGCCCGTCCTCGACTCTACATTCTGCTGGTGCGAAAGGATGTGGCGTTGGTGTCGAAGTTTGAGGATTTGCAAGACTTGGTGTCGACACTATGCTCTGCAGCTAAAGACGGTATGCCACCAGTGGGGCTGAAGCCGTTTTTGCAAGGCAACGTCGGCAGCATCGCCCGAGCGAGGTGGGGGTCCAACTCCAAATCTACTCCGAAATGGGTGGCTGCTCACACAGCCATGCGAAAAAAGGTGGGGCTGGGTCCTCCAGCTATTGAGGGCGACAGTGACTTCACGGCCAGGGCCTTCAGCTCTCTGGAGTATGCCGCCGCAGTTTGCGAGTTTCCAGCTTTGGTGGACGTATCTCAAAGTTTGTACCGACTTCCCACAGCTCACGACCAGTGTCCTTGCATGACGACGTCGTCGGACCTTGTTCTCTTGGAAACACCGGAGTCGCGCAGGCGGCTGCTGCCAAACGAGGTCTTGAGCCTGCAAGGCTTCCCTATGGACACTTTGAAGCCTCCTGCAAGCCTGTCAGCCAGACAGCTTTGCTTCTTAGCTGGAAACACGATGCATGTCAGGGCGGTTGGCATGGCTCTGCTCCTGTGTCTTGCCTTGATCAATTGGGGCCCTGCGAGCTCCAAGGAGGGGTCGACAGAAGATGGAAAAGAGATTGTCATTATGTTCAAGTGGACGAATAAAAACAAACTGGTGCCAGATTCTCAGAGCTACTCGCAGAACAGAAAGAATAAGGCGGCGGCAGCAAGAAGGAAGCCTTCAAAGGAGATGAAGAAGAAGCCGGCAGCAGCGGGAATGAAGCGTCGACTAAGTCAGGTTTTTTCCCAGAAAGCGGGCAGCAGCAAGACCGGCGTCGCAGCAACGTCGGCCGCAAAGTCGGGCGCAAAGTCGGCAGCAAAGTCGGCAGCTTGCAGAAAGCAGCCGCGGCGTCGACTATCCCATATATTTTCGTAGTTTCCTTCTTTCTCTGTGCGGACTGTCGGGTGCATTGTGATGTGCCGCCTCGTATGTCCCTGGCTCTGCTGGCCGGCGTCTGTGCAGCAGAAAACTGACGAGCGTAGTGTTTGAGACACGTTGTGAATTAGTACTTGTGTGCATCATGGCATCATGGCAGCAACATCACACGACACCCTGTCAGGCTGACCTATCACTGGACAAAGCCCGGGCCCAATTGTGCAAAACATCATCTCCAGAGCAAGTTGCACGCGTTTGCATTGGAGCATGTTGCATCACAGTTGCTCTTGCAGATTTTAAGGATCAGTCGATTGAGGCCCCCTCTGTCCTCTAGTACTTCTGCTCTGAAGTCGTAGCTTCGCTATGACGGCGGCGTCCAAGCGGAAGGCCCCGGAGGAAGTCACCAACCAGCCGAAAGCCGGTCCCGCCAAGAAGGGCGCACGGCAGGATCCAGAACCTGCAGCTCCTGTTCCGGCTGAGCCGGCCAAAGCTGTCCAGGCTCCTCCTGCAGCTACTGCTGCGCCTGCCCAGCGTCCTACCATTCCTGACAGCGAAGAGGGCAAAGCTTACGACAGTTTTGAGATCATGAAGTCTGTGATTCCATGGGTTTTCTGCCTGCAGTTTTATTTCGGCAGTTGCATTTCCTGAGCTGGATAGTCCATGACTGACCGTGGACCTTGAGTGGCGGAGTCGAAGTCCTAAGTAGAATGATGCAGCTCAGGTCAATGACAACCTGCCAGCAATGCTCTTCAAGCTGAAGCTGGCTACGGAGTCGACCACGGCAGTGAGGTCCCACGTCCCACTTATGATCAAAAGGGAGGACGATGATTCCGGGCCGCTTGCGCAGAACCAGATTTCAAATTAAGGCCATGTAGCCTGAACATTGCAGTTGAAAGAGCAGGAAACCCATGTCTGCACAACCGAGGTACTCCGAGCCGTGGCGTCCGGATAATTGCTCTTTTGCACTCAATCGACACAAGGTTTATTCCGCAAGCGGAAACGTGTGCTGGATCAACCCTTTGCACAAGCTGGCTATTCTGGGTGCGCATTTCGGGGATTTTTGATTTAATGCTTTTCTTGTGGTACTTGGTGGGCCATACTCGAAAGCTTCTAAACCCTGCAAACGCTAAGCCATACCATATGACTTATATCTCGATACTATATATATATATACACCTACATATACATCTCGCCTTCGACGTCTTCGCCCTCGAGCACTGCTGACGATGAAGGACTGCTGGGATCTTTTTGGGTTTAAGGTCATGGTTGACTTGAGGGCTTAGGATTTTTTTGGGGTGAGAGCAGGAGGTTCGGTGCTCCTTGGGTTTGGGGGTTTAAGGTTATGGTGTTCAGATTTCTCGGTTCAGTCCAGCGGTTCGGGGCTTCGCGGTTTCGGCGCACTCGGCTTACGGGCTTGGGGTTGGGGGCTTCGGGCGTTTGGGTGTTTGAACCGTTACCCTAAACCCGACCCCCCCCTCAAGGTTTCGGACTAGGCCTCAAAAAATTACAGGACACCAGATTTTCGAAGTGGTTATATATTATCAGGAACAGTTGACCACCCAAAACAGCAAGAAACTGGCCAAGCGAGGAACGTTTGCTGCGATGACGATGCAAGGCTCCTTGAGCTGGGAAGTCGGAGGGTTTGGGGGTTGAAGGTTTTGGTGTTTGGAGTTCGGGGCTTCGGGGGTTTGGTGACTTTGGGGGCTTGGGGCTTTAAGGTTTTGGTGTTTGGAGTTTTCGGCTCACGAGCCCTGTAATATGATACTTTTAGGGTTTCGGGTTTAAGGAAGCTGCATAGCGAACACTCGAACTTGTACAACTAGTACTGCTACTGTTCTACTAGTCTACTACTACGACTACTACTATTCCTCCTGCTTCTGCGGCTTGCTGCTCCAGCTCCTGCTCCTGCACACTGCCTGCAGGCAGCTTTGGGCTTGTCTGGCGCTGCCAGCGCTGGAAGTGTGATCGAGATGGCGCACCAGGCAGCGAAGAGTGTACTGCAGGGTTTGCATAAGAAACACAAAGGGGGTTTGGGGGTTTAAGGTTTTGGTGTTTAGTTTGGGCCTTAGGGAACACCGAAACCCCCTAAGCCTCGAATCCGAAACTTACCCCAAACCCCCTATGGGTGGGGGCCGTTGCATATTATTGTATTATACAACAGCAGAATATAATGTGCTGACTATACTTTGCTATACTGACCTTATCATATACGATATTGTAGTATACTATTATACTGTACTTTCTTATAAGATGCTGCACAAAACGCTAGGTCCTCAACAAAAAGCCTGAGCTGCGACGAAAGCCCGAGCTCCCAGCAGGGGCCGAGAGCTGACGACGATGACGACGATGGCCTCCCAGCAGGCGTGCTTGGCAGGTTGCTGTTGTGTCCACGCGGTTCAGAATTTTCATGATGCTCAGCCCAACAGTCTAGCTACGTGGGCTGTTTTCGTCGGGTTAAGGTGCTTAACTGCACGCTCATCAGATACCACAAAGGGTGTTGGTTCATGTTGTGCTGCGGCTCCAGGCTGGCCAGATTCAGATTGTTGGCATGCTCTTTGTTTCTTTATCTTTTTCTTTCTCTCTCCATAACATAATGCACAGATAATGTAAATAAGTATAAGTATACGTACAAAAATAAATGAATAAATAAATACATATATATATATATGCAAATCATGATTGGGGTTTAGGGTTTGGGGGTTTTGAGGTTTAAGGTTTGGGCTTTACGGGTCCCAAAACCGCCCAAAACCGTTGTGTTGAAGGAAGTGACCCAACATGCTTTTGCAAACAAGGTCTTGGGTCACTTGTGAAAACCCCCCAAACCGCCCAAAACCGACCCTACGCAGCAAGTTTAGGGCTTAGGGAGTGGTCAAAACCTCCAGTAAGCAGGCATGGCAGGCCCATTTGCAAGTCGGGTAAGCCCCTACACCCCTTATCCTTAAACCCTGAACCCCTGAACCCTAAACGGCATTACCTGAACCCTTAACCCCTAAACTCCGACACCCTTCACGATTCACAACACCCTTAAATGAAACACCCCTTCTCTTTAAGTATTGGGTGGGGTGTGCCAATGAAACACCCAAAACTAGCCACTTCTGGCCCAAAGTCAGGATTTGGAGCCCAAATCCAGGGTTTGGGCCAGATCAGGCCTTCCCAACTCAAAATAAGCCTGCAGGGCAGTTTCCTGCCCCAACCCAACCCTAATCCGTAAACCCTAAAATATTAAACCCTAAATACTAAACCCTAAAACGCAAGGCTCTGAAGTCTCTTCGATGTGGTGCGGCAGCGGCACTGCGGCTCAGTCGGATCCTGAGGGGTTTGGTTTAAATATTTAGGTAGGAGTGGTTACCCTAAAACCCCGGTTGGCCCCCCCCAGATAATAGGTCCCCGCTTGACCCGTGCGCATGCTTTGGGAGGGGTTCCACTGCCGGTTCTTCGTGAGCCTGGCTTTGGTTCCCCGCTCGGTCTGGCGGAGGCGGTTCCTCGTGAGCCTGTCTCCAGCCGACCGAGCTTGACTCCGTTGCCGGTTCCTCGTGAGCCGGGCTCCGGAGTCCTTCGGTCAGGCTCGCTGCCGGTTCCTCGTGAGCCTGGCTTCGATGCCGACCGAAAGCTCTGCTGCGTCGCCTGAGCTTTGGAGTCTGGGTCAGGCTCGTTGCCGGTTCCTCGTGAGCCTGGCTTCGATGCCGACCCTAACTTCCATTGCCGGTGCGGCCTGAGCTTCTAAATTCTTGGTCAGGCTCGTTGCCGGTTCTGCGTGAGCCAGGCTTCGATGCCGACCAAGCCGGATCGGTTTGGCCACCTGCGGGCGGTTCCTCGGCCTCAGTCGGGGTTCTCGCCAGGCTCGTGTGCCGCTGATTCTGAGGGAAAATAAAAAAGGGGGTTGGTTTGGGATGTATCCTGAGCCCGAGGCCTTAGACCCGGTTTAGGTTTGGGGTTAGGGCCCGAAATCCCGCACCCCAAACCCTACGAAACTAACTGCTACAGCAAATCCCTCATCATTTCCTCGGGTTTCGCAGGGCTTGCTATATTATGTGGTTCCAGACAACATCAAAATCACACCATAGGGCGGTTCCACAAAACATCAACATCATGCCATAGGGTGGTTCCAAATAACATCAAGATGACACCATAGGGGGTCATTAATGGCTATTGGCTCCCTTCCTGTAGTTCAAGATTCATTGCTTCTGTAGGGTGAACGTCGGCAGTCGCGGCTCCTAGCACCAAAACCTCGAAGCCCTAAGCCCCCTAAGGCTCGAACTCTACACCCGTAAGCTCCTTTAACAAGCGGGTGCTTAAGCAAAACCACTTATAAGTGCCGGTGATCGAGATGACGATGCCTTTAAGCCCGTTTCGGTATTTGGAGTCGGGATTTGTGAACTCTCTTACCCCTTAGCGCTTCAGGCTTTTTTGGGGGGGTGGATTCGGTTTCGGAGTTTCGGCTTTCAAGCCTTTTGGGATTGAGGGGTGTGGGCTCAGGTTCATTATTGCGTTGCGGGATTGATTTTGTGGCTGAGGCCTGACCATCGTGGCTCCTTCATCGCTGGCGGCCAGGCGCTCGACTGAGGGCCCCAACTTGATGCCATTTTGTTGTATGTCTTAGACCCGGTTTAGATTTGGAGTTAGGGCCCGAAATCCCGAACCCCAAACCCTACGACACTAACTGCTACACCAAATCCCTCATCATTTCCTCGGGTTTCACCACTTATAAGTGGTTTTGCTTAAGCCCCCGCCGGTGATCGAGATGACGATGCCTTTAAGCCCGTTTCGGAATTTGGAGTCAGGATTTGTGAGCTCTCTTACCCCTTCGCGCTGCAGGCTTTTTTTGTGGCCGTAAAGCACGCCGTGGGGGTGTGCTTAACGGGGGTGGGGTGGGTGGGGTGGTGGCGGTGGTGGCCCCCGACCCCGTAAAGCACGCCGTAGCGGTGTGCTTAACGGGGGTGGGGTGGGGTGGGGTGGTGGCGGTGGTGGTCCCCGACCCCGTAAAGCACGCCGTAGCCGTGTGCTTAACGGGGGTGGGGTGGGGTGGGGTGGTGGCGGTGGTGGCCCCCGACCCCGTAAAGCACGCCGTAGCGGTGTGCTTAACGGGGTGGGGTGGTGGCCCCAAGGGTGCTGGACGGGGGTGGTGGATTCGGTTTCGGAGTTTCGGCTTTCAAGCTTTTTGGGATCGAGGGGTGTGGGCTCAGGCATTATGCGTTTCGGGATTGATTTTGTGGCTGAGGCCTGACCATCGTGGCCACTTCAGCCAGGCGCTCGACTGAGGGCCCCAACTTGATGCCATTTTGTTGTATGTTGGCTGGATTGTTGGTTCCTTTAGGCCTGAAGACTCCGAAGATGCTAGGGTGTCGGTGTTCCGGGTTTTTTCTGGCGCTCAAGCTCAGTAAAGAGAACGGTTCAGGTTGCGCGGGGTCCTTGTTGCAGACGGCTACTGCTGCTACTGCTACTGCTACTGCTACTGCTACTGCTACTGCTACTGCTACTGCTACTGCTACTGCTACTGCCACTGCCACTGCCATTGCCACTGCCACTGCCACTGCCACTGCCATTGCCACTGCCACTGCCACTGCCACTGCCACTGCCACTGCCACTGCCACTGCCACTGCTCCTGCTGCTCCTGCTGCTCCTGCTGCTACGGCCACTGCTACGGCTTATGGGTACGGCTTATGCAACGGCTACTGCTGCGGCTATGTCTACGGCTACTGCCACGGCTACGGCTACTGCTAGGGCCTCTGCTGCGACTAGGGCTACGGCTACTGCCATGCTACGGCTATTGTTGGGGCTACTGCGACGGCTATGGCTATGGCTACTGCTACTAATGTTTTTGTTGTCTCGTTTGCATGTTTGTATGGTGCAAAGAAAACTCAGAGT